TAAGCTTCTCAAAGGGCCAATGGGAAGTAATATACATTTTTTTTTTCCGCAAAAAATCCTGCCTAGCAAGAGAAGGAAGCAAACAGAGGATTCAAATATATAATTTTAAAAAGGCTTGAGTTTACAGAAAAGTTCATGGGATATACAAGATCACAAGGAGAAAATCAGAAAGACCTTTAAAAAATGGTAGCCCGCTTGGATCAGCTTTAAATTAAGCTAATAACTGAATACAGAGGTCTTAAAAATTACTTTAAAGCTCACTTATGCGATTCCAGCGGAAGAACAACATCAATATTTCTAATGTTGAAAATTCTTTTTTTTTTCTCTTTCTTTAAAACAAGAGACACCTAAGAAGTGCCTACAGAACGGCCTCAGAACAAAAACCAAGCCTTTTATGACTTCACCAAGGATGCATGAGACATCTTCAAAGAAATGCCAAGATGCAGTCCTCTCAAAATTCAGAGCCACCTCTAAAGATAGCCACAAGAAAGAAAAATTTAGACGTCTTGAGAGGTAGCAATAGTCAATATGTAAGCTTCCAATGGGAGCCTCCAACTTTTGGATTGGCCCCCTGCACAGACTGAAGAGTGTCCTGACAGGCAGCAAGCCAAGTCAGGTTCTCAGGACACAAAACAACAAAACGACAGCTGTCTTTTGAAGGGATAGGATCAATAACAAATGGGTCCCATAAGTCCAAATTTACACAAGAGAACAATTCCAACAAATGATCTCCTGATGACCTGCATTTGGAAAGGAAGAAATAAAGAGAAATTTTGACCTTTAGTTCTTGACCAGACACTACAAGCAGAAATTCAGAACTGACCTTGGTAAAAATTCTTACCTTTATTAGCAAGTTCTTTATCAGTCTTTTACCAGGACCTCATCAGTACGTGAGTCAGGTGCTTCAGGCATCCCATCTTCATCACCAAAACTATAGGGGCAGAAATAGTGTGATCTCTTTCCTTCCTATCAAAAGGGTCACAGCTGACATGCCTATAACAAAAGACAGGTTAACAAGAGAGAAGCATAACACATGTATTGAATCATAGATTTGTATAACTATGGAAGCCTTCAAAATGAAGACCCAAAGTACAGGAAAAAACTATCCCTTTTTGTGCTTATGTTCCATGAAGAATGGACAGCCGAGTAGAAATGTGATTAGATAAAAAGGGCATCATCTAATGCTAATATTCTGAGTAGGGGAACCCAGCAAGGCCCTTCTGGTCAGATACTTCTTGGTCTCTCCATGCACCATTCTTTCCTCTTGGGTATGTGGCCGAGCTCTTTTTGGAAGGGGGGGTCTTAATATCTACAATCAAACAAGGTAAGTTAGAGAATTTCTTTATGGCCCGTTCAGTTCTTACACACAAAGGTGAGGGAAAGTTAGAGTCATATTTTCAAATTTTATGGCTGGCTTTGGGGAAAAGGGGCTCCGTCAGGAGATGAGGGGTGACAAACAGCAGGGCAGGAGAAGGCCAGAGAGAAACTTTGCTTCTGAGGCTGCTTCTGAGACCTTCACTTTGGGGTATTATTTCTGAGCCTCAGTAGGAGTGAAAATGAGATCCAGAAAAGCTAGAGAAGAAGTAAGGAACTGTGCTGGGTATCGGAATCAGCAAGTGAATGATATGTATATTTCACTTAGGTTTAAGAAAATAAACTCTTCCAGATTTTCCTGTAAGATACTGTATCCTGACTGAATATACAAATCAGACTTATCTTCAGTATGAAGGGTGACTATTCTCCAGTTTTCTCCTGAATATTCCAAGAATTCTGCTCTTTAGATTATTATGTGTTATGGAGATTAAGGAGAGAGCATTCCCTTTTCCATTTTCTCTTTTTCTTTTTCTATTTCTTTTTTTTCTTTTTGAGACGGAGTCTTGGTCTGTCACCCAGGGGCTGTAGTGCAGAGGCGCCATCTCTATCGCCAGGGTTCAAGTGATTCTCCACCTCAGCCTCCCGAATAGATGGGATTACAGGCACCCAACACCATGCCTGGCCAAATTTTGTATTTTTAGTAGAGACAGAGTTTCACCATATTGTCCAGGCTGGTCTTGAACTCCTGAACTCAAGTGATCCACCCCCCCTCGGCTCCCAAAGTGCTGAGATTACAAACATGAGCCACTGCACCCAGTCCCTTTTCTGATATATATGTAGTAATTAAGAAAATAATAACCGTATATTTATAAAATAAGAAAAGCACATGTATACATATATGTTTTATGTATACACACTATATATATTGTGTGTGTGTGTGTGTGTGTGTGTGTATATATTCTAGAGGCTGGTCTGCCTGAGATTTGGGCAGGGACACAGATCCAGACCATATTAATCACCATTCTCTCTTTTTGTCAATCCCTCTGCTTCCTCTGTGGCTTTTCTCTTCCCTCCCTTTAAAGGTAGAAGGTCCTCAGAATCATGCTTAAGTCTTTTTCTCCCTCTACACTCTCTCCACACATGAGCACTTCCATTTCTGGGATTTTGCTTGCCACATATGAAACCACAGCAATTGCATTCCTTATAATTTGAAAACTCATGTATCCAACTGGCAACAGACGGTTTCTACCACATGTTATACCAGTCAACTTACAGAGGATATCTCTATTTTTATTTCCTGACATGTTTCAGTTTACATGCTGCCAAAAGAAATCGTCGTTTGTTCTTTTTTCTCCTTAGAGTACTTAGCATAACTGATATTAAATATTATTACTATTTTTAGTTTGATTCCCTACAAAAATCAAATATGCAAGAGAGTAGAAAATAGATTTATTGTATTTACCTTTACATATTGAGTACAACATGCAACCTGGTTTAGAGAAAGGTCATTTTTACTTACATCTCTCATATAATAATGATGAGTAAATAAATTTTACCCTTTATTCTCTAATCAGGTTGCACAGTCAGGATAAGAATTTCATGTTAAAGGATGAACACATACAAGAAGTTCCTATAGTAAAAGTTTAATGAACAACATAAAATAATGAATTGAGTAGATACAAGGAAAATGTTTTATTACACTAGCCACAGTGTAAACGTGCACCTGACGTTATACGAACAAAAATAATTTAAATCTTATAAATAGTTAAATAAATATTTAAATAGATAAATCAATTTATCAGCATGATCATAGTTATAGCAGGAGTGAGAGTCTTTGAAATGGCAGAATTCATGAAAGTGTGAGCTGGTGTATGAGTCAATAAGAATTGTTTTCATGTTGGACCAGGTGTTATTCCTTCCTCCTTAATCTTTCTTGCAAGTTTGTTGATAGAGAGAAGGATCTCATGATTTCTGCTCTGACAACCTCCCAGGCACAAGGGCTGTATTTCTTCTCTGTCAGATAGAAAGTGATTCTTCGGAAGTATTTCTTCACAGCCAAGGTGGAGTCCGCATTCATCAGGGGAGTTTCTCCCACCCTCTCCTGCTGCATCACACAGGCTTCCAAGTCATTCAGCTGCTGGTAGAGTTCAGTGCAGAATTTGTCTAGGAGGTCCTCATCCCAAGCAGCAGATGAGTCTTTTGTGGTAAAGAGGTTGAAGGTCTGCTGGATCATCTCATGGAGGACAGAGACGGCTGGAGCCTTCTGGAACTGGTTGCCATCAAACTGCTGCTGGGGAAATCCAAAGTCATGTCTGTCCATCAGACAGGAGGAAGGAGAGATTCTGCTCATTTGTTTCAGGAGCATCATGGTCCTTCTGTTATCCAGGCTGTGGGTCTCAGGCAGATCACAGCCCAGAGAGCAGCTTGACTTGCAGCTGAGTACCACCAGGGCCATCAGTAACGCAAAGGGCAGTGCCATCGTAGATGTTGCAGATGCTTCTGGGCTTGCTGAGATGGGTGACTCTGAACCTTGGGCTCTAGGTTTTCTGAAGGCCTTGCTTCGAGCCGATGACTTAAATAGGGAACATACTGATTTCCACTTTCTTAATGCTCCTGGGCCACTTTCCATTTCTGTTTTTGCTTTCCTTCATGCACTCTTTACATGAGTTGAGAGCTGTGTTTTTCAACCATTTGGTTTTTCATTATTGCCTCCCCCATCTTGTTCCCAGAGACTTTTAAAATATTTTTTTCCTAATTGAACCCACTGTGAAAATTTAATAACACAGATATAGTATGTATCTATTTGTGTACTATGTGTATATCTCTATACTCAAAAAGCACAAAGTTTAATCTTTTAATTCAATGCAGGTTTAAAAATAACCAAATGAAAATTTTAAGCTAAAAATTAGATTTAAATTCTATTCAAATTTAACTGAACTTTATAACTAAATTTGCTTATGCGCTTCAATGTAATTTATTTACTGATATAAATTGTAATGTATTAAATTACATAAGCAAATTAACAAATTATAAACATTATCTAATATTTATAGATAGACATTATACATCTAAGTAGTGAATGCTTACAAATTATTTGAAACTGATAAAGCCTTAAAAATTATAAATATTTTTATCATTTATTTTATTATACTTCTAATTTTGTTGCATGTGAGAAAATTTTTAACTTCACTAGCTGCTAGATACTCACCTATATGTTGTTAAGAGTTTTTTCTTCAATGCTTGACCTAAATATTGATGGGTTGAACAACTTCAGTAGAATTTTTAAAATATAAATTATTTATATTTCATTTCAAAGCCCACAACACAGACAGAAATGCTAAGGATCAAACATAAGCAATATCTATAAGATGGCCAGTGACAAACCATATATATGCAGAGAACACCTCTTATGATATGACTTTTGGTTCTAATAAACCTTGGATAGTACTCCAATCACAGCTACTCATTTGCCACAGGTTTGTAATGCTGAACTTTTATACCTTTTATGTATCTTCCATGAACTCAATATCAGTGCTTCTCATGTGATACACAAGAAAACCCAATGGAGAGAAAAAAAAAACTAAGGAATAAGATTTTGTTAAATAGAGTTGAGCTTTGGAGGGCCACAAACCATTTAAATATGTAAGATTTGTTCCCACTCCCAAGAAGTAACTTCTACACCCTTGGGAGTAGTATCATATGCAATGAGAATTCATAATTGAAAAAAAATCCCCAATTTGATTAAAACAAATTTTGGGCATGAAAGTTCAAATTTCCAAAGTACATTCAGAGTATCTTTGTTGATTTCCTAGCAAACGAAAGGAAACCATCTTTGTCCTAAATGCACGTAATAGGATGTAAATGTAGTAACATAAATAAGTTGACAATTGTTTGCCATAGCATGCCAGACATCAGATACCTTTCTTTCTCATTTCATTTTCCTAGAAAGCAAAAGTTGTCACTTTTTGCATCCTAATGAATGGGGACAAAAAGACAACACAAGTGGCCGTGCACGGTGGCTCACATCTGTAATCCCAGCACTTTGACAGGCCAAAGCGGATGGATCACCTGAGGTCCGGAGTTTGAGACCAGCCTGACCAACATGGTGCAGGTTAAGGGGTGGGAAAGAGCAGAAGCAACATGGTAGAGGGGATGTAGGTCAAAGGTAGCAAATAAGTATGGGCTGGAAGAAAAGTAATTACTCCTGGTCCACAAGTTGTTTTCAGATTTACTGAACTCCCTCTTGCAAATATACCAACAGCAAGAGTTTATACACAGAAAGACACATTGTTGAGAGTACAATATTCTCTCTGGAAAACGGGTCAGTGTTCACTGCACCAAACTCTCCACTATTGGATAAGTAAACTTAGAAGGTTAGCTTTTTTTCTTCTTATATTTCTAGTAAGAAACAAGAGAATTGATAATTTCAAAGGACACTTCCCTAACTTAATAGAGTTATATAATAAAGATAATGTTAATAAGAGAAATGAAATATCAGACTGGGCGTGGTGGTTTACGCCTGTAATCCCAGCACTTTGTGAGGCCGAGGTGGGCAGATCACCTGAGGTCAGGAGTTTGAGACTAGCCTGACTAACATTTTGAAACACTGTCTCTACTAAAAGTACAAAATTAGCCTGGCATGGTGGCACATGCCTGTAATCCCTGCTGAAGCAGGAGAATTGCTTAAACCCAGGAGGCGGAGGTTGCAGTCAGCTGCGCCATTGCACTCCACTTGCACCCCAGCCCAGGCAATAAGAATGAAACTCTGTCTCAGAAAAAAAGAAAAAAAAAAAAAAGAAGAAGAAGAATGAAATATCTAAATTGTGGAAAGTCTTTATTTATTTTCAGTCAGACACTGTTTTTAGCACTTGCATAATCAATGCTCACTTAGCCAATAAAGAACACCCTCGTTTTTCATAGTTACTGTACGTCTACCATGTACCTAGCCCCATTTTAGCCCCATTTATTCACTGGAGATATCACTGACCAAAGCACACAGTGGTAGATTTTACTATTGTCCCCATTTACAAAAGAAAAAAAAAAAAAGAAATCCCAGGGAGCTATTAAGTTGTAGAGCTACATTTTGGATGGAGAAAATTCAGCTCTGAAGTCTTACCTCTTATATGCTCTCTGGGATTATATCTGCACATAAGAACCAGAGCTGATTTCTAGGACAATCAATGTTTTCCTTGTAGAGTCCTGCCTACGTAACGACAGGGTCTTTCTCTTCAGTTTCCATTTGTCTTCTTCACTGAAATGCCCCATTTGTCCATGCCAACATGTTACATTGCAATTAAATTGGGCCCCACTTTACTTACACATTATATTCTAGTTTTGTCTTCTTGAGGATACACCATCATAAGTACGAACGTATTTGTAAAACACGTTGTTCACCCAGTGAATATATTCATCAACCCTGTATATTTCTGTCAATTTAAAATTCAACACAGTACTATTTATTCTTTTAATCAAATATCCACAATACTTTAGATTTCCACCTGTGTAGCAGAAATTTAAGAAAGAACAAGTCATTGTCAGGCTAGAGACATGAACTAAATCAGAACTAAACCAATGAACTAAGGCTCAGAGCTCAGGGAGAGCACACCTGGACAGGTTAACTAAAGGGGTTATTAAAGCTGTGGAAATGGAAACACTTCTGGAGAAATGAGGAGAGTCCATGGCATTAGAGGATGAGGACTGAGATGACAAAAGACACTGAGTCACCTGACTTGCCAACTGGTTGATGCCTTTTACGTTGTAGGTCACCAGAGTGTGCTGCAGTGTTGATTGTACTGCCTTAATTTAAGGATCTGGTGAAGAAAAATTGATGCTGACACTTATGGTATAACAGTAAGGAAGGCTTTATTTAGAAGTATTGCAACAGGTGTTGAGACTATCATGATAGGTGTATTAGTTCTTGCATTACTATACAGAAAAACCTGAGACTGGGTAATTTAGAAAGAAAAGAGGTTTAATTGGCTCACGATTCTGGAGACCATATAGGGAGCATGGCTGGGGAGGCCTCCGGACACTTACAATCATGGCAGAAGGCTAAGTGGAAGCAGGTATGTCCTGCATGACCGGAGCAGGAGGAGAGAAGCAGGGGAGGTGCTGCATAATTTTAAACAACCAGATCTTGCAATAACTCACTCTTACCATGACACCACCAGGGGGATGGTGTTAAACCATGAGAAACCACCCCGTGATCCAATCATCTCCCACCAGGCCCCGCCTCCAACACTGGGGATTACAATGCCATGTGAGATTTGGATGGGGATGCCGACCTAAACCATATCAATAGGAGAGAGAGAAGAACTGGTGCTCAGCTCAAAAATCAGCAAAGACAGCCTGGGGTGTATACCCAACAAACAGAATGAGGGGGTCAGATAGAAAGTCACTAAAAGGAGACATCAAAGGCAGGGGGATCCCTGCTAAACTGAACATAATTCTTTCTAAAGGCAAGCCAGGGTAATTATATATTGAGTGTATGGGATGAAAATTTTGATCAGATATCAAGGTTAAATCAGCTATCAAGCATGGAAGGATTCTCATAAAACTGACGTAGTAAGATTCTTGCTACAACTGGACTTGGCAGACCTAAGAATGGACGCCAAGGTACGAGCTAGCCAACAAGAGAGTTTGTAGAAGCCTGACTAAAGTTTGGCGAAGGACAGAGTCGTCATCAGAAACTTAAGGGGTAAGAGACAGAACTATCTGCTAAACAGTTACAAGGGAGATTAAATTTTATGTCTTTTGAAAACAATACTATTTAATGAAAGATTTTAATCAATGAAATATATATTTTTTAAATTTTAATCAGTAATGTTAAGAATTGTGGAAGCCCATTTTTTTTTTTAACTTGTATTTCTAATCAATTCTAGACCTATAGAGAGTTGCAAAGATAGTAATGGGAGTTCTCTTCCCTTCACTCAGCTTCTAATGCTAACAACTTACATAGCCATGAAACAATGATCAAAACTAAGAAATTAAAACTGGTGCTTTAATATTTGCTAAACTTGGCCAGTCGCCAGTGGCTCACGCCTGTAATCCCAGCACTTTGGGAGGCCAAGGCAGGCCGATCAGGAGGTCAAGAGATCGACACCATCCTGGCCAACATTGTGAAACCTTGTCTCTACTAAAAATACAAAAATTAGCTGGGTGTGTTGGCTCACGCCTGTCGTCCCAGCTACTCAGAGGCTGAGGTAGGAGAATTGCTTGAAGCTGGGAGGCGGAGGTTGCAGTGAGCCGAGATCGTGCCACTGACCTCCAGTCTGGGTGGCAGTGCGAGAGTCCGTCTCAAAAAAAAATTTAAATAAAAGATACAAAACAAAAAACAAACAACGAAAAATTTGCTAAACTTTAGGCTTCACTGTGATTTCCTTAACTTTTTGATTGATGTCCTTTTTCTGATTTCAGATTCAATACAGGGTCCCATATTACATTTCATTGTCACATATCTTTATTCTCCTCTCGTCTATAACATGGACTGAGTCTTTCCTGACTTTCATGACCTAGAGACTTTTAAAGAATATTCTTCAGTTCCTTTGTAGGATGTTCGTCAATTTCGATGTGTGGAATTTTCTCATGGTTCCATTATAGATTTAAGGGATGAATACAATGGAGTACATGCTCATTACATCAAATAATACAGGAAATATACAATATCAATAGCTTATTGCTGCTGATATTAATCACTTGGTTAAATTGTTGTCTGCCACATTTCTCCTATGTAAAACTACTATTTTTCCCTTTCTATATTGCATGTGTCAGAAACATGTCACTAATATGAGCCCACATTAAAGGGAGGATAATTAAGTTCTACCACATAAAGAACAATATATCCAAGACTTCGTTGATATATTTTAAAACATCACAGTAATTTTAAAATCTGTTGGAGGGAGATACATTGAAGATATGCAGTCATCCTCAATTCCTTCAAAGTTTTGCTCACTTGTTTTGTGATTTACCTGTGGATCTTGCCTATTGCAATTATTTTTCTGTGATATTCCATTTTTCTCATTCTTTCTGTATTTGTTATTTGAAATGTTTCTGAAAGAGTTGGCCCTCCTCTCCAATTTATGACTATCTACCCACTCATTTACTTATATCAGTATGAACTCATGGATATTTATCCTATTATTTGGGTTATAATCAAATACTATCACTATTTTGTTTCTCTACTTGTCCCAACTTTGGCTATTGGAAGCTCTTTCAGGTTGACTCCTGTGTGTTTTTGATGTGCACCTATAGTTTTTGTTTCTGGGCCCTTCCCTATCTTCTGATACCACAAGATACTCCAGAGTATCCTGGTACTTCCATGCCCTATACCTGGAATCAATTATTTCTCCCAGAAGTCCTCATGCATTTTATTGGACATTGGTTAAATGCCAATTTGGCTGAGCAAATAATAAATACTAAAAACTGAGAATATATCGATTTTCAAAATTCTAATCCAGCATAATAAGGTCTATTCTAGCCTTACCATTTTGATTATTTGAAACTTCTTTTCCCAGTTCTGAGATATCTGGCTTATATTATCCACAAGATTTTACTTATTTATTTAACCCTAGTAATTAATGTAAAGTAGTTCCAGAACAACTAACCAGAATCCCTGTGAGAAACCAATCTACCACCTAAACATAGTATCTATGTACAACTCTTTCATCTTCAGCCTTACAGTCTGTAGTCACTAAATGGCTGGACAAAGTATTTGTCATTTTCAAAAGGGTTATGTCACATATTCATCACATTATTTTTTCATAGTCTCCATTCAACCTTGGTTTCTGTTGCCAATGTGGTTGATTTTTTAAAAATATACATACAGTACAATTTACATCTTTTGTTGGAGAGTTTCTCAGGTTTTAACCAATGAATAGAGGCAAAGCTTATCTATCTTTACTTGAAGTTTTCTTGTAAGTTTAAAGCTGAACAAAACTTTCTACCAATTTATACCATGACAGTGCCTAAGCATGCAGGATCTGACGTTTCTCCTTTAGGTCATTGTTAGTCGCATTGATGACCCTCTTGAGATCAGTCTACTGTTTTAATTACCAAAAAATATACATCCAAATCTCACATATTCCCCAATTTGGAATTCTTGTTGTTCTCCCAGATGATGGAGCCCTCTGAAGGTCTTGTAGAGGATTCTGTGAAGAAGGTGGATTAGAAAACACCAGAACTCAGTCTCCTCATCTAGATAACAGTTGCAATAGCAAAATCTACCTGATATAACTATTTTGGAACTCTGGAATATATTTCAGGCTTGGAATTTCCAGGGGAAGGCTTGGATGGTAAATTGTGATTAATTTCAGTCAATTTTAGCTTTAATCACATTAGTATCAACAGATCCTCTACAGTTTTCCACCCCTAGTCTCCATGGCAGGTAGCTGTGCCCATGTTCCAAGAGCAGCTTGTACTGAGCTGACGGGAGCCAGTGTTGGCAAAAAGCATACCTTCCTCCAAATATCAGGGATCTGTGCCCATTTTCTGGTTGCTATTTTTGATCCCCTTTGTAGCAAGGCCCACCCTCTCTAGCTGAAGTGACTTCCAAGGTATGAAACAGCCAGCACCATCCCCATCTCCATCTTTATTTTTTTCCACTTTTCGGCAACCAGGCATTAAAAACTAGGACATTCAAGGTGAAAGTTAGAGAGTGACTGCACATGCCTAGGGAAAGGTGCAGACTCAGAAACACCCTGAGAAGACCTTAAGATTATACCTCAGGACAATCTTTACACAGAGACAGCCTGCAACAATGAAATCAAAAACAAAATAATATCAACAATCACTAAAGACTGAGTAAGGGGTTAATCTTATTTCCAGAATTACTACATTATTAGATTTGAATGTCCAGTTTTCAACATTAAAAATAATCACAATTTTCTGTGTTAATAATATATTAACACATAAAAATATGGCCCATTCAAAAAAAGGTCTCAGAAATCATACCTAAAAATGATCTGATAGCAAATCTACTAGATAAAGACTTTGAAGTAACTCTGTTAAAGATGCTCAAAGAATTAAAGGAAGATGTGGAGAAAGTCTCAAAAGCGATGCACAAACAAAATGAAATTATCAATAAAGAGACAACCTGTAAAGAACACAAACAAAAAATCTGGAGCTAAAAAGTGAAATAACTGAAATGAACACTGAACATTTTATTAGAGGGATTTGAAGGCACATTGGAGTAGACAAAAGAAAGAACTAGTGAACTTGAAGATCGGACAATGAAATTATCAAGTCTTAGAAACAAAAGAAAAATGATGAAATAAAAGTGAATCAAGTCTAAAGGAACCATGTATAGCATCCAGTGGACTTTAATGGGGAGAATCATCATGACCTGTGTCCCCAGATAATTGTAGTTTTCTTCTCATTGTTTAATCATATCATGGCTTTTGATTATATGTGTTAATGACTAAGTTTTCATTGGCCATTTCCTCTTACTTTCATCCAGATTGCCAGGTATCAAATAGCTTGATGTCCTCCAAATGACATGGTCCTGCAGTCCTCTCAGTCTATGAAAAATCATGAACATAAGCTTTAGGATCTGTCCTTGGTGTTTTTTCTTGTAGCTGCCGATTAGGCTATCAATACATTACCCCCAAAATGCTAAATCAATGTTAGAAACATTGTTAATGATGTTCAGTAATAAAAATTACTGAAATAACCACTGCTTCCTAATAAGACAAGAAAATAGATGATAGTCATCCAAATAGAAAAGAAGAAAGTAAAACCTGTTTATGAAAAATGACTTGATCCTCTAGAAAATTCTTCAGAAACTTAAAAAATATGCTAGAATTTACTAGTCAGTTTATCTGAGTCAATATACAAAAATCAATAATATTTCTTTATATGCACAACAATCAGAAATTTAATCTTTAGAATATCATTCACAATATTATGAAGCATTTAAAATACTTAGGAATAAATTTATAGGAAGACATGTACATTGAAAACTATAAAATATTGCTGATAGAAAATAGATAAGACCTAAACAAATGGAGATATATATTGAGCTAATGGATTAAAAGACTCAGTAATGTTAAGGTATCATTTATAATCACATTGATCTATAGATTCAATGCAGTGTCAGTCAAAATTTCACCAGACTTTTTCTGTAGAAGTTGACAAACAGATTCTAATACTTATGTGGAAATGTAAAGGAACAAAAATAACTGAAATAGGCCGGGCGCGGTGGCTCAAGCCTGTAATCCCAGCACTTTGGGAGGCCGAGACGGGCAGATCACGAGGTCAGCAGATTGAGACCATCTTGGCTAACACGGTGAAACCCCGTCTCTACTAAAAAATACAAAAAACTAGCCGGGCGAGGTGGCAGGCGCCTGTAGTCCCAGCTACTCAGGAGGCTGAGGCAGGAGAATGGCTTAAACCCGGGAGGCGGAGCTTGCAGTGAGCTGAGATCCGGCCACTGCACTCCAGCCTGGGTGACAGAGCGAGACTCCGTCTCAAAATAAAATAAAATAAAATAAAAAAATAACTGAAATAACTTGAAAAGAAAGAAAAATGTTGGAGATTTATAATCTCTAATTTCAAGACTTATATTACTAAAGTAATCAAGACAGTGAAGTATTAAAGACAAACAAATACATCAGTGAAAGAGACAATAGTTTGCACAAATAGAGCCTACATATACTGTTTATTGATTCTCAACACAAGCACAAAAAGCATTCAATTTTTAAAAAGAAAAATTGAATAAACAAATAGTGCTGAGATACACATCTCTATAAAAATGATAAATCTTGACCCATATTTTACAGAATAAACAAAAATTAAATTTTGAAATGGGATCATTCCAGTATTTGGGTCAGTTGTTTCCAGGAAATTTCATCTTTTTAGCTCTGAAGAAAAAGCTGGTGGAAGGAGACAGACTTATACATAGAACAGACTTGGCCACTCTCTGGTCTTGGCAGGTAGGTGGCTCTCTTACAGTGTGAAGTTACCCTTGATACCCCCAAAACCCAAAGAGATCAGGGAACTCAAGGCAAAGAAGTGCAAAACTCCACATCTGAGAGAAATTGCACATGACTCTTGGAGCTCCACGAGGAAGACAGAACACCCCATGTAGTGGAGGGTCTGTGGCACTCTTTTTGCATGCTTCAAGGGACCCTAGGTTTTTTTTCAAGTGTCTTCTACACCCCCTTTTGTGGTATCAAGAACTTTGATGTTTCTGGCTAGTAATTTTCTGTCCACTGACCATGAAATCGAGGGGGCAGGGGCTTGAAGGGTAACATATTCATGATAAAAGAGACCTAGATAGAAAATTGAAGGTGGCAGAAGGAAGGAAGTGCAGAAATAAATGGAAGAACAGGTCTTAGAGGAACCATATTGGTAAGACTTTAAGCTTCCCAGAAAGGCCATTGAAGTTTTACTTTTTTTTCAGCAAAAATTATGCCAACAAGAAGGGAGGCAGAGGGATCAAACATATAATTAAAAAGAGGTTTAGGTCTACTGAAGAAACTCCCCGCGGGAAAAATAGGATCCCATTTTAAATCTCTTATCAGATTTCAGCAAGAATAAGCAGCCAATATTTCTAGCTTTTGAAACTGTTTTCTTTTTTTCCTTTTCTCTTTTAAAATAAAGGTATCTACCAAGTGACTCCAAACAGAAACCAATTAAGTCTTTTATGATTAATGAAGGATGCATAAGACATCTTCAAAGAAATGCAAAGATGCAACCCTCTCAGAATTCAAAGTTACCCCTAAAAATAGCCAAAAGAAAGATTTAGACACTTTGTGAGCTAGCAACAGTCGATGACATGTAAGCTTGTCATGGGAGCCCCCAACATTTTTTTTTGGCCACCTGCACATGCAGATGTGTTGTACAGGCAGCAAGCCAAGCCAGGTTCTCAGGACACAATATGAGACAAACAGGGACACAATAGCTGTCTATGGAAGGGAAAGGTTTAATAACAAATGGGTACTTTAAATCAAAATTACACAAGAATTACAATCCAAACAAATAATTTTCTCCTGCTATCCTGAATTTGGAAAAAAAGAAAGAGAAATTTTTACTTTCCATCCTTGACCAGGCACTATAGGCAGAGATCCAGGAGAACAGACCTTGATATAAATTCTTACCTTTCTTTGCCAACTTTTTGCTAGTTGTCCCGGGACCTCATCAGTAGGTGAGTCAGTTGCTTCAGCCATCCCATCCTCATCACCAGGATTATAGGGGCAGAAATGGTGGATCTCTTTCCTTCCTATCGTAAGGGTCATAGCTGGCACCTCTTTAACAAAAGAAAGACAGGTTAACAAGAGAAAAGCAAAGCGTATTTATTTAATTATAGTTTTATGCGACATGGGAGCCTTCAGAATGAAGACCCAGAGTTACGTAAAAAAATATTCATTTTAATGCTTAAGTTCAATGAAGAATGCACAGACAGCTGTGTAAAAAATGTGATTAGACAAAAAGGGCATCACCTAATGCTAATAGACTGAGTGGGGAAACCCAGCAAGGCCTTTCTGGTCAGATTCTTCTTGACCTCTCTGTGCAGCATTCCTTCCTTCCTGGCATGGGGCAGAGCTCCTTTTGGAATGGAGGTCTTATAACCTACAATTGAACAAGATAGTTCAAAGAATTTCTTTAGAGTCAGTTCTTACACAGAAAAGTATAAGTAGTATTTTTAGGTTTTATGGCTTACTTTGGGGAAAAGGAGCCTTGGGAAAGGGGGTTTCTGGTTTTTATGGCTAACCTCTAGAGAATGAGGAGTGAGAAACAGGAGAGGAAAAAAAGATCAGAGAGAAAATTTGCTTCTGAGGCTGCTTCTGAGACCATCAATTTTGAGTATTGTTTTTTCTGAGCCCCAACAAAAGTGAAGAATGGGATTCAAGAAAACAGGGGAAGAAGGAGGGAATTCTGCTAGGTATCAGAATCAGCCAGTATATATTATGTATAATTTACTTCAGTTTAGGGAAACAAACTGAACATATTATGAAATATATTATATATATTTCATAAGTTACCATTTCCTGACTAAATATACAAATCAAACTTACCTTCGATGTGAAGGGCGACTATTTTTCAGTTTTCTCCAGAATGCTTCCAAGAATTCTGTTTTTCAGACTGTCACGTTCTTGATGATAGTAGGTACTGAGTTTGAGGAGAGTGTTCAATATTCTGATATATATGTATAAAATAAGAAAATAACCATATATCCATAAAATAAGAAAATGATGGCCATATATATGTATATATCAATTTCTAGATATTTATGTATAGATATATGATGTTGACTGTGTAGCTTGAGGAAAAGATTCAAGAGACCCCTCTGCAGTTGCAGGTCCTCCTTCCCTGCTACCTCAGCAATTCACACACACTCCCTGGGAAATACCCCCATGAAAATATGGTACCAATTACAGGAATGCCTCTCAAATTCTACCAAAATTGACATATTTGAATAAACAGACTTCACTAGCTCTCAGAGAATAATAATAATATTATTATTTTATATTCCTTAGCTTCTGTGGGATTTTTCCCTTTTGCTAACTAGGTACAGTTTTTATTGCTGAGCTGAGGAGCTGTCAAGATTACTATCTAAAGTTACAGTAAGAAAATGTTGATTTGTTAAAGTTTGAACTCTGACATTGGGAAGGAATCTGTGAAACTAAGATTGCACTGTCAAGAGTTTAATGCACTAAGAAACATGATATTTTTGTGAATAGTATTAAGTTCCAATCCAAATTGGCAGTTCTGTGTGTCCCCAAGAGTCCCAATATATGTGGAAGGGGTGATCCTAGGGAGCGCAGACTGGTCTACACAGTAGGCTGTGGGCAGGGAATACATGTCTCTCTGTCCCTATAACTGGAAATCCCAAGGAGTCCACGCCCTGACTGTAGCCAGAAACTCATTCTCTTTGTAATAAACCAAGTGTAAGGAAGCATGCTATGACAGCATACAAATCTCTTCTGGTGAAGAAGTAGCCTTTCTGCAGCATGTGGATAAATCCCCAGAACTGGTAGGATTTCTTCATAGATCAGCAACCTGCCCTCCAGTTTTGGTTGCTGCCCTTGTCACACTTGGCCCCCGGGGACTGTCTTTCCCTGAGAGGTTTGCAGGAGCCTACGTATAAACTGAATTCTGCTTTCTCTTTCCTTTTTGCTAAGCTACTATTATGTCATATTCAATGGAGATTCTAGAAAGCCCCTCTTGCATGTGTTTCTGTAAAACCTAGAAATTTTATTTCACTTCTGCTTTTTCCTTGTGGCATTCTGCTATTTAGGGAAGCCATTTGAAGCCAGAACCACAATAGAACAGAAAGCTGCTCTGTGTGAATAGGCAGGAAAATCAAGGGAATGAATGACCAGGATCCCATGGGAAATCCACCTCGGAGAGCAAGGAAACCCTGGTGATATGAAAATGCCTCCTGGAGTGCTGAGAGACAGGGAGGGAATGTGTCAGGTGCCTGAATCAGTAAATAAACATCACATCTCTTCTCCACTTCAATCTATATGCTTATTCTCCTGTCTCAGGTATTTATAAAAGCCACCATTCCCTGACTGCATATAAATAGGACATTTCTTTGAAATGAGGAGTAACCATTTTTCAACCACTCTACAGTTGCTGACAGAATCTAGCTTTTTTAGGCCACTTCCATTGGCAGTCACTTACTGAAATGTAGGACACAGGTCCTAAGAATTTTATAGAAAGATAAATATTATCCTCATCTACAGCTGTATGAAGAAAATAGGGAAATACCTATGATATTTTAACTTCTTACTAGATAGAAGACACAGTGGTAGGTGCTTCAAAATGCATGTTTGTTTCTAATATTCACAACTACACAAATATTTTAAACCCAATTTTTATGAGAAAAGTGAGGCTCAGTGAGATTAAGTGGGTTGATCAAGATCACACATACATCCAAGCAGAATGAAATTTCAATGTCAAAGTCTTTAATGCAAATTATGGGTGATTTTGTCAGTTTTGTATTCTGGATTTCTATTACAATTGCTAAATCTCCTTGTACTCGTGAATTATACACAACTCTTTGGTACGTTCTGAATTTCCATGGTTCGGGTTGTATTTTTAGCTGGTTTGATTAATTATTTTCTTTTCCTTAAGTATTGAGGAAGAGATTCTCTGATCCAGTTTCCCAATTTAATTTGTGAAGGAAGTTTGTGAGTTTGTATGTTTATGGTAATTTAGTTATTTTTGCATTCATGTAAGATTGTGATATTCATAAAATCAGGAAAAATAATTACCAAGGAGTATTAAACTAAAGAGCTTCTGCACAGCAAAAAAAACTACCATCAGAGTGAACAGGCAACCTACAGAATGGGAGAAAATTTTTGCAATCTACTCATCTGACAAAGGGCTAATATCCAGAACCTACAAAGAACTCAAACAAATTTACAAGAAAAAACAAACAACCCCATCAAAAGGTGGGCAAAGGATATGAACAGACATTTCTCAAAAGAAGACATTCATACAGCTAACAGACACATGAAAAAATGCTCATCATCACTGGCCATCAGAGAAATGCAAATCAAAACCACAATGAGATACCATCTCACACCAGTTAGAATGGCAATCATTAAAAAATCAGGAAACAACAGGTGCTGGAGAGGATGTGGAGAAATAGGAACACTTTTACACTGTTGGTGGGATTGTAAACTAGTTCAACCATTATGGAAAACAGTATGGCGATTCCTCAAGGATCTAGAACTAGATGTACCATATGACCCAGCCATCCCGTTACTGGGGATATACCCAAAGGATTATAAATCATGCTGCTATAAAGACACATGCACACGTATGTTTATTGCGGCACTATTCACAATAGCAAAGACTTGGAATCAACCCAAATGTCCATCAGTGACAGACTGGATTAAGAAAATGTGGCACATATACACCATGGAATACTATGCAGCCATAAAAAAAGATGAGTTTGTGTCCTTTGTAGGGACATGGATGCAGCTGGAAACCATCATTCTCAGCAAACTATCACAAGAACAGAAAACCAAACACCGCATGTTCTCACTCATAGGTGGGAACTGAACAATGAGATCACTTGACTCGGGAAGGGGAACATCACACACCGGGGCCTATCACGGGGAGGGGGGAGGGGGAAGGGATTGCATTGGGAGTTATACCTGATGTAAATGACGAGTTGATGGGTGCTGACGATTTGATGGGTGCAGCACACCAACATGGCGCAAGTATACATATGTAACAAACCTGCACGTTATCCACGTGTACCCTAGAACTTAAAGTATAATAATAATAAAAAAAAAATTCTGCAAACTCCCCCAAAAAAAAAAGATAGGAGCAATTATTTAGATACAGTAATCTTGACAGCAATGGAACAAAGTAATGGTCAATTCAGAATTTTGAATATAATTTGTAACACAAACATGCAATGGGTATTATCAGACAAATGAAATCATCTTGGAAATAAGTAATCTTATCAAAATTATGTGAATAATGCCAATTATAAAAATGTGCAAAAACATTAGCATATAATAAGATAAAATAAAAATGTCCAGAATTTACAGATAATCAAATATCTGTATTTCTATCTTTGCATCAAAAAAATGTATTCAACAGAAAATATACTTCTAAATAAATATATAGCAAATTGTTTGTCTCTGAGAGGAATATTATTGATAGATTGTGTGTGCATATGCAGTGTTTTCTAACATGTCTTTGCACAACTGGTACATTTCTGAGTAAAATAAATATTTAAAAATGCAAAAAAAAAGATTTCTTATCATATCTGGCTCTATCAGAGAATTGCAGTGAAATTGTAGTAAACTAGCATGACAATGGCACAAATTAAGTAACTTAATTAAAGCCAGTAATTGCAATAACCATTATATTATCAATATTAATTGAATATTTTGATGAAAGATTGAATTAGTAATCTATTCCGGCCTAAATAATTAATAAAACTAGGCATCTTACTGATAGTCACAGTAGTATTAATTAAAACTGATAAATTACTATTGTAATTAAATATGCCATGACTTAAAATAAATATGAAATATATTAATGTCATTTGCCAGTACCTCAATTACATGAAATCTATTCAGAAAAATATACATTGCAAAAAGGAAAAACTAAGCACAGAAAAAATAACCCACATTCTTTTCTAATCTCATTTTCTTTCTTTCTCCACTTAAGGTCACTAATCTTATTTAAACTTCCACTTTCCAGTATGGTTTCTGTGTATTAATTTTACCCAGCCGATTCTCACTAAGGGTGCCAATGCCATCTATTTCCCAATTAGTAGGCAGTTTCAAGCCACACCTTGGGCAAATCCACTGAATCCTCTTCTCGGCACATTTATTTCCTTTTGTTTGTTTGTTATTTTGAGATGGGGTCACTCTCCCTCTCTCTCCCAGGCTGGAGTTCAGTGTTGTGATCATGGCTCACTGCAGCCTTGAACTCCTGGGTTCAAGCATTTATCTTCCTAAATACACTTTCATTATCTTTCTCTCCTGTTGCCTTCTAATGTACAGCTATTCCTTTGTAGCTGTGGTTGTTTCCTTTGTGGCTCTTCTTTCCCCTCCCTTTAAAAGTGAAAGGTCCTCAGAATCATGTTTAAACCTTTTTCTCTCTCTACACTCTCTCCTGACACTGTGACCTTCATTTCTTGGCTTTCCCTTATCACATATGAAACCCCAGCAATCACATTCCTTGCAAATTGCAAACTTGTATATCTAACTAGCAATGGACAGTTTCTACTAGATGTATACTAGTCAATTCAAAGAGAATATCTCTGTCTTATTTTTACTTCCTCACATGCCTCCATCTACCTTCTGCAGAGAGAAATCATCAGTTGTTCCTTCTTCTCTTCATACCATTTACCATAACTGATATTAAGTATGATTACCGTTTTTAGGTTTTCTCATACAAAAATCAAATACGCAAGAGAGCAGAATTGTATTTGTTGGGTTCACCTTGTTATCTTGAGTACAACACATAACCTGTTCACAGAAAGTTTATTTTTACTTATATCTTGAATATAATATTGATGGATAAATGAAGTGTACCAGTTATTGTTTAATCAGGTTGCACAATTAGGCTTGGAATTTCATTTCAAAGAATAAACAAGTACAAAAAGTTTCCATAGCAAAAGTTCAATGAACAAGACAAAATAAATCTACCAAAAAACA